AACTCCTAGGCTCAAGTGAGTCTCCTGCCTCAGCCTCCCAAGTAGCTGGGACCACAGGCGCCCGCCACAACGTCTGGCTATTTTTTGTTTGCAGCCGTCATTGTTGTTTGGCAGGCCTGGGCTGGATTCGAACCCATCACCTTAGGTGTATATGGCTGGCAACTTAGCCACTTGAGCCACAGGTGCCGATCCTCCTTTTTCTTTTAATTATATTTACATAAGGGGATCTAACCCTTATAAGAAAGGAGTAAAACTGAAAAAGAATATAGTTTTATAGATAATCCAGTTTCAGTAAGTTCTGTATCACATGAACGATGTGATAGATTTGAAGTACTCGATGCATATTATAGGTTTCACTAGCTAATGTAATTTATTTATAAGTATAATTTATAAACATAATACATATAAATATAATTTACAAACAAATTATAATTGTCACTGTTGTCACAGTTGTCATTGTTGGTTAGCAGCCCCAGGCTGGGTTTGAACCCACTGGCTCCTGTGTATGTGGCTGGTGCACTAACCACTGAGCTATGGGCACCAAGCCTTTACTAATGATTTTATTTTATTTTTTTTGAGACAGAGCCTTAAGCTGTCCCCCTGGGTAGAGTGTCATGGCATCACAGCTCACAGCAACTTCTAACTCCTGGGCTCAAGCGAGTCTCCTGCCTCCACCTCCCAAGTAGCTGGGATCACAGGTGCCTGCCACAACGTCTGGCTATTTTTTGGTGGCAGCCATCATTGTTGTTTGGCGGGCCTGGGCTGGATTTGAACCCACCACCTTAGGTGTATGTGGCTGGCGCCTCAGCCGCTTGAGACACAGGCGCCAAGCCTACTAATGATTTTAAGTAAAGAATGCAGAAGCATTTGTAAATAAATGATTATTTGCTTTAAAATATAATTAGCTCCACTAAAATCACATTACTATGTTGTTTAAAGGAAATGAACATCTATGAATGGAAAGAGATGAGACTAATTATAGCATAAAAATTCTGGAAACTGGAAATACATGAATAGTTGACTCAGCAGAACTGAAAACACTCAAAGCTGTCTTAAGCCAGCAATGGAAATGGAAAAGTTGATAATCTATTCAATTTACATCAATGATGATCAAAAGACATAAAAAAATGACACCTATATCCACTTCCCCCAACTTCCTATCTGTGGACTTCCAATATTTAGTCTGTGTATTAGTTCTGTCAAATGCCATGACTGGGTAAACTTCATGTACTGAATACTCACTCATGATTTTGCCCACTGACTTCCCCAGAGTGAGCTCTTAAAACTTCATGAGGAAACTGAAGCCACATAATGTTCTCTTAGGAGTCTTAAAAGTAGATAATATTATTCTTTCATTAAACAGATAAATTTTCTTGTTTAATTTTTCAAAATTAAAAAATATAGCATTAAGGATAGAGATATAGATTATAAAATCATTTTAAAGATGATAAAATCATTTCTTTAGCTGGGAGGTGTTCAAATTTGTTGTCACTAAAAAACTTATTTTGTATGCTCTTCTATGTGTGATACTCTTTTCATTTCTTTCTTTCTTGAGACAGAGCCTCAAGCTGTCCCCCGGAGAGAGTTCCATGGCATCACAGCTCACAGCAACCTCCAACTCCTGGGCTCAAGGAAGTCTCCTGCCTCAGCCTCCCAAGTAGCTGGGAATACAGGTGCCCGCCACAACGCCTGGCT